GGAAGGGGGCAAAGAGATCACACCACTGTAGTGGCAGTAGTTCATCAAAAATTCACCTCTGGGTTGTGGGCAGAGCTATTGGCTTACACACGAGGACCCGGGTTTGAATCCAGGCTGGGCCAGATTTCTTCAAATTACTTTAGAAAGTTAAACCGATCTCGCTCGCACACAAGCGGGTCAGAGAGGAGAAAGCAGCGCCATGCAGCAGGTGGAGGAGAGAATCAAACAGGTGGAGTGAAGGAGGAGCTCAGAGCGGCAGACAGAGCAGGTGGACGACTTTCTAAACTCATTTGGAGAAATCTGTCAGCTTTGTGTTTTTGAGTTGTGTGCTGGCTGCCTGATCAGCAGACACTTCCTAGAGCTGCACAAGAATTACGCAGCGTAAAGCAAACTCGTGGTTCTGTGGTTGTGTGATCTACTCGGAGCCCGGCTTCGCCCTCTCCCCAAGACCGAGTCCCGAACCACACATGGTGCAGTTCTGATCAGGGGAGGTGACGTGCCGGGTGCTGCAGCACTCTGTTGTGACCTCAGCTTTACTTTGTTTTAACATGACCATAACCAGAATATATATTTATAATATATAATAATATTTATAACATATATGTCCCGTCATGGTTGAAAAATAGTTCCAAAATTAAAGTTGCACCAACATCTTTTCTGGCCATAAATTCTATCTTTCTGCACGTCACATCTGCATGTTTAATGACCGTCAGTGGGCATCTTATTACTGTATTACTGTACAATAATACAGTACACACAGTCATTTGTATTATTGTTTTACTGTAAAAATAAAAGTATAAATGACACCTGAGCCAGTATCTTGTATGGCCCAGCCTGGATTCAAACACGGGTCACCTACGTGTAAGTCAGGTGCCTTACTAGTCCATTTCACATATGAAAACTGATAAATAACCATCTTCTTCTCCACTTGAGGAGTTTGTGCTCCACCTAGTGGATTTGTGACGTAACAAAGCCAGAAAGTTTTAGACTGAATGTTTTCATCTGCTACTGATTCACAGCGATATGAATGCAGAAATACTCAGAAATGCAATTTTGAGCTTAAATCTTTTTAGATATGTCCTGCAGAATAAGAGAAATGACTCAAGAATATGTTAAAAACAGAAAAAACAGGACTTTCATTAGAGTGGGTCTTTATACCACAACTTCAGCTCTGCCAGTGAAGTGGTTGAAATGTTCACTGTTGACCACATGCTGCCCAGACTCTCTCCTCACACAGTCAAATCCTGCCTTGGCCTCACATTCACACAAGTGCTCTTGTTGGAACTGCTGCCAACACACACACACACACACACACACACACACACACACACACACACACACACACACACACACACACACACATTATTGTCCAGCTGTGGTTGTCCCTCTGTAGCCGGTCTTCCTGCTAGACAGCCTTTGTTTGTGTGGAACATGTGTCAGAGAATTAGTGCTAGAAAAAAAACTTGTCCAACTGTGCCCCCTGCTGGCTGCTTGAAAGAGAGCACATCCCTAATCAGGGTTTAAATATGTTTTATTAATAATTTCATTCACATAAAAATAGTAAACATGAAACTGGGTGTTTTATGTGAAGTTACATTGATCCAGTGCACGTAGTACTTATCTAGGTAACTTGATTAAAATTGTGCATCTTTCAGGTTTAAGTTTCAGTTCATTGCAAAAGTATGATGTAATTTACATCTATAATAGATTGATTGGTGAACACTGAAAACTGCTCAAAATTATTAAATTACAGCTACCTCAGGGATAAACAGGATGAATAATTTATCAAAAACAGTTAGTAGTTGTAGAATAACACATGCTCATTTCAATAAAATAAACCATATTTACATGCAGGTCATAATAATGTGTATAAAGCAAAGATGTTTGTTAATAAAGGAATTTCCACAAGGATTTATTGATATTTGAAATAACAGGAGAATGATTCCACATCAACCTGATCTTGTGTTTGATTACTCTGGGGTTATATTGGTTACTATTTAAAGAGCAAGTTACCCCAAACAGGGGTGTGACCAAGTCACTGCTTTGTAAGTCACAAGTAAGTCACAAGTCTTTCCAGTCACGTCTCGAGTCAAGTCAAAGTCAACCAAGTCCAAGTCGAGTCTAAAGTCAGTGATGTGGAAGTCCAAGCCCTTAACTTTGAATTTTCAAGTAATAATCAAGTCATCGGTCCTACTTCAATTTAATGATGATGATAATAAATAAACTCCAGAAAAAAAGCTTCTTAAAGCTTCATTTATTTGCTCAAACAAGCAGAAAGTGCAACTGAAACAGATTGTAAACAAAGTGCTGCTGCATTCAGCAGTACAAGATCTAACCCAGAACGAAGAATCATTTAGTATCTTTGTCCATGTCGGGCCACTTTTGTGCTAAAATATTAAATATGCTCAAGTCATCATCAAGTCAACAGATGCAAGTCGATTCAAGTTGCAAGTCATTGGCGTTCAAGTCTGAGTCAAATCGTAAGTCTTTAGAAATTTTATCAAGTCATGTCAGAAATCATTAAAATAATGACTCAAGTCCAAGTCATGTGGCTCGAGTCCACACTTCTGTCCCCAAACCAACTTTGCTGATAAGAGGTGGTTTTCCGGGAATGCCACTCAGCCTAAAACAGCTCTGAACAGCGTGGTTTGAATCAGCCCATCTGAGTGCACTTTTGTTCCCATGTACCCCTCGTAGGTGTGTGTGTGGGGGGGGGGGAAGGGGGGTTGACTGCAGTCAAGGGGGTGCGCAATTTTTACTCGTGACTAAATAAAATGAGGTGATCAGTAAACAGTATAAAGTAACCTGCATGCTCCACAGAAACACAACTCAGCTGAAAAACGGTGGTGCTGCTGGACATCTAGCTCAGTTAATTGCTTTTTGTCACCCTCTGAACCATGACTGCAGGCTGTGAAACAGAAAGCAAAAAAAAACTCCAGAGCAGCCAGTGACTCTGCCCCCTAGCCAATCAGCAGCAAGAATCACGTTTCCGGCCTGACTCAGCCATGCCAGGTACTTCAACGGAGAAGGGACTAAAAATAGGGGAGAAAGTGGAGGGAAAATTCTCAACCGTGCCCTTGGAAACAGTAGTCGGGCCGAGCTGCATCGGTCCGCGTTACTCTGAGTAGTGTTCCTTGAAAAAACCCTAAACTGTATAAATGGGTGTCTAATGGTGCCGTAGAGGTGTGTAATCATTGCTTTAGCATTTTAGTACATCTTGTTTAAATATAAATATTCTGCTTTAAACCACCAAGGTTAGAACTCAGCTCTGTATTGATTTTTAATCGGCCTTCCCTATTGGCTAAGAGGTACGCAGTGACGTTGCTGGTACCGTATTACAAGGCTGCACTGCACTGGACTGAAGTCGAGTCAGTCTGCCAGGTGATGCACCCTTTTCGAGCACAGGAAGTGTGGGTGGAGTAGGACTCTAGTAGGGAGGTGACTTGCTCTTTAAATGGTCTGTATGAGTGCTTCAAGTGGGTTGGTACACACTGGTACGAGTACCGGTACTTCTAATTTTTACCTCTCAGCATACCAGGACTTTCTTTCTAGGGTATGGAGAGTACTGGTAGTTTATCCACTCATTTATTAGTTGAAATCTCAGACATTTCCTGAAACAAATACATGGCTGTCTTCAAATAAAAACCAGCCAGCAGTTCCCACCAGCCCCAGCCATAATAAGCAGAACACAAGAAGCTTACACTATCTCTAAATGCGCCATGATGCGCATCACGCATACATCATCGTCAGCTACCGTCAGCAGACAAGAGGAGAGAAAAAAGAGACGAGTTATCTGACACCGTGCACATTTCTGCAATGACTAACAGCAGCAGCATCTGACCAACCAGTGGTCAAATGCCCCAACAGGCAGGTGGATCCATGGAGGGCATTCAAACACAAATATAGATTGGAAGTAAGCGCAAGAAAGAAAATGTAAAACCAAGGGGAGGCGTGCCCTTCACCTAAAAGTGGGAATGTTGTTGGAAAAAAATAAAAGAGTTTGTGGTCATAAACATCCCAGCTGCTGCTAATCATGAGACAGAAGAGGGTCATTTTGTCTGAATGGACTAGTGATTGTCGAGTCAAGACCAACTGGGTGGGGAGGGGCAGGGCAAGATGAAACAGCTATGCCCCATCCAGGCTTTTGCCATAACTTAGCAGAGAAAATGCACTTGTAAGGCCAAAAAAAACCACGGGGTGTTTTTCATGAGGAAACATTATAACATGTTCAAAAAGCTCGAAAGAGATTTGGCATGATACAGTTAATAATAAATTATCTCTAAAGGTGTGAATGAGAGCCTAACTGATTGTACGTCCCTGTGATGGTCTGGTGACCTGTCCAGGGTGTCCTCGCCCAATGACTCAGGAATACAGTGATCCCTCGTTTATCGCGGTAGATGCGTTCCAGACCTGGCCGGGATAGGTGAAAATCCGCGAAGTAGGGACACCATATTTACAGTATTTATTTAACAGGTACGTACAGTATTCAGACTTTTAAAACCCTCCCTTTACATAGTACTGTTAACAAACCACCCTTTAATGCACATTTTATGATGAAATTGATGAAAAAACAGGAATTTCTTGATATTTCGCATAGAAAAATACCGCGAATCGGTGAAAAATAACGCGAATCGGCGAATTTCCCTTGAATAAGGCTCCAAAGAAAAAATCCGCAAAGTCGTGAATCCGCGATAAACGAACAGCGAAGTAGCGAGGGATCACTGTAAGCAGTTTGGAAGTGTTCCCACAAAATTCTCTTCATATCCCTTAATTTGAAGTTTAAATGACTGAAGTTCTGTAATGTATTTGAACTAGCGAGTCGTCGCTCATTCCACCTCTTGAGAATTCATCGGTTTCAGCCGTCACTTGTTGCTTCAAATCATGTTCTATTTATTTCATTATTTAGTTTGAGAGTAACGGGGCTCCTCGCTGTTTCAAAATATCAATATCTACGCTGCATGTTAACACTTGGATGTGTCCCCATCCATCTTTTCCTGCAGGTGACTGGAAGGAGCAGTTGTGTCCTCTGGTGAGCAGATTAAAGGACTGTGTGATGGAGGTGGTGGAGAAGGCGAAGAGAGCCATGACCTTTGTGCTCCTGCAGGAGGCAGCCTGCAGCACACCTCAAGGTTTTCTCCTCCAGCAGAGGAGGGACGTAGTCTTCAGTCAGGCAGTAGGTGGCTGCACCGATCCAATCAAACACGCTTTAGAGAATGTAAACTCTTTCAGGGCTGGTTCAATTTTCCCCCTTTTGTAAGAATCTTTGTAAAGATTCTACTCTGCATTGTTTTTATTCCCCATGCGGCTCATTCTGTTCATGGAGTTGATCATAAATGTTCTGATGTTTATTCTGATTAGTGTCTGGTTCGTGTTTCAACAGCTGGCAGCTTTGGCATGTGGCTTCGTCATGAAGCTGTACGCAGGATTGCGGGACAAGAACTTCCTGAGGCAACTCCACCTGGTTGGCTTGGTGGCCCAGTTCGAGAGCCTGCTCAGCACCTACAGTGAGCCGACCACAAAATGTCACAGTTTCATTTAAGTAGATTAAAAAGTGAACCCCTGAGATGGATGACGAGTTGATTTGAGGTTAAGTTCAACAGGTTGATGAGTGATGTGGCTGTAGCAAGTCACATCATGTACAATAACAAAGTGATGACAGTGTGTTGCTGGATTTGGAGGAACAATGCCATCACAAGCACTTGTGTTTTTTATGCAGCACCTTCCTGGTGAAGGGAGGTCTTCTCATCATTGTTTTGAATAAATTGAATAAAACAAGATGTGACAAACACATGACATCACTTTGATCTGATCTTGTTTTGTCTGCATCTCCAAGGCGAAGAGATCGGGATGCTGGAAGACATGGAGGTTGGAATCTCAGACCTGCAGAAGGTCGTCTTCACGATCACAGAGGCCAAGACAGACAAGCTCAGTGAGCTCCAGCCTTCAGTGTGGGGTCGACGGTAAGACCTCAGCCTCTCTCTGTAACCAGCTGCAGGAAGCAAGTGGAGATGAGGACCTTATTTTTTTCTCAGCTGCAGTTCTCAGACAATAGAAGCGTTTGTACTCATTAGTCCTTTACGTTCTAATAATTTAGAATTTTCTTCCTAAAGTCTGACTGCAGGTCTTAGGAAATGTGTTAAGACACCAGCAAACATGAGAATATTTGGATATAAATGGAGAATATGAAGAACCTGTGTGCAGCCTCACAAGAATTACTTATTAAAATGAACTAAACCCACACATTGTGATGGTGGATGTATTTTTAAGAACTCTGTGCTTCATTATTCTAATAAACTCTTAACGTTTAAAAAAATACAGAAGCACAACCAACAAATATCACTGTCGTAAGTCGGTGCAGAGTTGCTGCTCAAACGTTGGTGTGAATCTGTCGCACTGTAATTCTGCTGCTTTACCAAACCCTGCAGACCTGTGATTGTTGTTTACATTATTATTACCAGAGTTAGAGTTGTTATTGTCTCTAAACCGGTTCCTGCAGAAAAATCTGCAACACTTGAGCCAAACCTATTATGTAATGCTTTAAAGAAGACATTTTTAATAACGTCAGATTGATTTTGACATGCACAAATGTCAGCATTTCAACCATAACCTGCTTTTACTGTGAAATTGCATGTTACTTTATTAGATGTAATATAACTACTAATTAAAATGTCTTAGCTTAACTAATCAAACCGCTAAAAGAGTACAAAGAATTGTTTTAAATAAGATCAGGAGGTTAAATATTGTACAGGAATGAAGTACTATCACATCAAAGCCATACCATGCAACTTTTTCACATTTTTAAATCATTTTCTTGAGACCCTTCACATGGTTAAAAAAAATGCCCATTCCGACCCCCACTGGCCTCTGTGGATAGAATATTGCACTTGCAACTTCAGAGTGGCGGGTCACCACCTCTTGGACTTAGAAAAATTGAGCTCACATGCCTGGTGCTGCAGTCTGGTTCCAGCACAGGGTTGATGAGTGAGCACAACCTCAGCCCTGCCACGTGGACCTCAAGAGATAAACCTTCAATCCTGCTCAATGGTCAACTTTCCTGGCAGGTCACCCAATAAGACAGTGGAAGGGTTAATTTAGTGATGAACCACTCCTGTAGACACTAATGAAGGCTGGGGAGACATTTCAGCTGTTAGATTAAGATGTGAAAAAGACAAACGCACAGCAAAGAGACTACAAAAAAGTTTTGCTTTTGGTTTTACTAAACGGACTCTAGCGGGTGCTAAAAGCAAGCCAAAACTCCCAAGTGTGCTCTTAGTAAATTACAAATAGTAGAAAAGGGGAAGTTAAACTTTTTTTCTCTAGAGCCGTAGGAAGCCCTATGTTTCTTTTTGCGATGGCAACTAAAGAACTTTAGTCTGCGTGGTGAAAGATGGGTGATTCGGTTCTGTGTTGGGGGCACAGAGAAACTCTCCTGACACGGATCAGATTGTGAAATCATCTTTACTTTAATCAGCCCTCATTAATTACAGATCCATGCATCTGGAGGAAACAGCTATGTGATTCCTCGTCACCCTTAAAACATTTATTATTTTATAAACCACCTCATCTTGGGGTAGTACACCAGTCAGAGTCTAGCTCCATTTGTTATTTACGGTGTAATTCCAAGAATCGATCACACCTATTGCTGTCCACTCACCTGGCACTGTGCCATTTATAGTATTATAGTAAAGATCACTACTACTAATGTCCTTTTTACCACCTGTTGTCCTAATGAGACTCCAAGCTTCGAGCTGAACATGTCATGGCCTCTAACGGATCCACCAGAGAAAGAGAGATTATTACCATGAGTACTTTTAAAACACTGCTGCTGCCAAATAAAGTTGAAGTTTTTTAAAAGTTTAAAAACATTTTAAAATTTCCAATAAATATGTGTTTTTTCTGGATCACATTGCATTCTTTAGCACAAATAATTCACATTAAAGGACCATTACAGTGAACTGTTTGGGTTGTTTGTTTTGATCTCTGCCAGTAACTGCCCTGGTGTTATCAGCAGTTTGATTCCCTGCCAGAGCTCAACCCATCAGAACTGAAGTCAGCTGCATTCTGTATCTCTTTCACATGAATTTGTTTACTACGGTGATCTGATTGGAACTTAATATGAGCAATACTGCCTGACCTGTTTGTGCTGAGGCATTGTCAACATGACCATAAGAATAAACAAATTCAGTGAGATCTCAGCTGTTCTGGAAGTAGCTTTGGCTTTTGAAGCAAGTGAACTTTGCCCCACATGTGAAATCATTTCTTGGCTTTTTTATGATACTGGATCATCAGGATGGTGTTAGTCAGTCCTACATGGATACACTCTGTCTGTCATGCGCAAAAACACTATCGATTTCTCTTCTGAGCCTTGTCCACGCCTGTTGTGAGTGTAATAGTACAACTTTCTGAATACATCAGGTTGCACAGGACAGCACAGCGTATTGAATTTCTTTATTTTCTCTTTGTTGCTTCTTGGGTTTAGAGACCACTTCACTGTAGAAGTGCCATTACCACAAGTGATTTTCCAGACCTTGCCAGAAGAGATGAAGGAGGGCAAGCCTCTGCGTGTGTACCCGGTGCTGTTTAATGTGGGCATCAATGAACAACAAACTATAGCTGAGAGGTACTGCAGTCACTCTCCATTCCTTCTGAGGAACTCACCTTCAGTTGGAAATGTGCATGCTCAACAAGAAAATCTGTCAATATTTTTGTCTTCAGTAGGAATAAAGTTCTCGGAATACTTTTGCAAACTTCCAATCACATTAAAAATACGTTAGATGAAAAGTTATGTTTATTTTCTCTCCACAGCAGCATGCTTTCAATTGTTATGTCAATTGAAAGTTTTCCTTTTTATTCTGATGGACACTTTTGTCTTTTCTCTTTTTATGGGTGCTGTCAACAGGTTTGGAGACATTTCTCTACAAGAGCGAATTAACCAGAGGAACTTTGAGTTGTTAGAGGCCTATTATAAAACATTAAGTGAAAAAGTGCCACTAGAATGTAAGTGTGCTGCCGCAGCATTTTCACCACACCTTTACTTTAGCCAAGAAATGATTCATTTTTGTTTAATATTTTCAAGTGTGTTCATGAAGATGGGTGATTAGCCATTTAGACTTTAGCTTTTAGAACAGCCTCGGTTTGATGAAATTAGGATGAGTTATAACTACATATGAGCTTATATTACACATCTGATAATAGGGAACTGAGCTATGGGGCAGCTGAACTAAGTATTACGCCTATTGCACACTGGACGCAAAAGCGGCATGGAACGGCAGCAGAAAGGTTTACCCAAGACAATCATAGCACTCAAGGGCACACCGGGAGAGTCTCAGCAGCAAAGCCGCTTTTCTGCCGTGCTCCTCGCTCGACTCGCGAGATCATAAAATACCTCGAGACTCCTGCCAACCGCCTTGCAAGATCACACGATCCCTTGAGACTTCGAATGTTACAGTTAGTTTATGCAATCCGCCATTAAACCAAAAAAAGCAAATCACGTTTTATATCGCTGTTTGATGTCATATATGCTGTTGTCCCTCTCCACCGCCAGGAATAAAACCATGAAAACACACCGCTGCACTTCTGGAGATGCTGGGAGTAATTAGGTCACACGTAAGCTTCATGAAATTGCATCGCTGCAGTACTTTTATTTTGAAAAATTACCAGGGATTTTACACTGAAACCATGTGTGATTTCCTGTCTAGCCCTATGTTAACTGTGGTAATTGACGCATCTAAGAAGAGACTCATGGAAAAATTAGAAGCCGATCCCATCTTTAGCAGCGCGGCGTGCCGCTTCTGGGACGCGTCTGAAAATTCAAACCACTGGTTTCAATTTTTGGTTTCAACAACTGGTTTCAGGAGATAGAAACCACTGGTAACAAGAAAAGAAAGCTCCTCATCCGAAGTCGAGCACCCTGACGCCGGGGACACACCAGCCGCCGAAGCGCCGCGAAAAGGGGACCACCTTCATTCGGCGCCCTTGTTATCCTATTCTATAGACCACATGGGCCACCGAAGTGCTGCGCTCCACTTCGCATCGTGCAGCGATCGTTTCAGTGTCTGCTCTGTTTTTTTCACGAGCCGCGGGTGAACCGCGTCAATTCTGGCAGGAAGTCAAACCTAGACATAAGAGGCAGGCCGGTAAATTTAACAAAATAAAGCATTTCAAAATACAATTCCGCGATAGTCAAATGTGTTCGTAAACAGACACTGCATAAAAACCACACAAACACACACACAGTGAACTTGTGTGTGTGTGTGACCACGTGAAGGGGGTGTGGTTTTGGGTGTCTTTCAACTGGAACAAACAGGACAGAGAGGTAGAAAGTCGCAGGCCAGCTAATTAACAACATAGGTTCACACACACACACACACACGTACAAACACACACACAAACAGCGGGGGGGGGGGGGGGTGGAGGAAAAGAGCAGAGTTAAGGTTGGTTTATGCTTGACGCGTCTGCGAGGTCCACACAGCGAAATTGCGTCATTTTAACAACCACGCCCCTCCACCGCACCTCCGCATGGCCCAAAATTTCTGTACCGCACACCTAGGAAATTTAACCACGCAGACGGTCGGACGCGGAAAAACATGGCGGACCGGCAAGAACTAGTATGGCAGAGGTTCGTAAATACAGACATTTGTATGATTCAGCTCTCAGAGATCACCGTGATCAACATGTTGTTAATAATTTTTGGAGAGAAATAGCTCGCACTGTCGGAAAAGACGAGGACGCTGTTAAAAATGCTGAAATGCCATGTTGTAAACAATAATTTCTACTTCTACTATGGTGTAGTGTTGGATGCATGCCGTAGAGCTCCATGCTGCCACCTACAGTTTGGGAGAATATTGGCTCACCGCAGAGACAAGCTGCATGAACCATAAACGCTGCGTGTTGTGAAGCGCATTCCATCCGCGAGACGCATCACCAAGCGGAAAGTAAATGCGTCAAACATAAACCAACATTTAGGCAGAGAGGAAATGGAGGACACCAAGTGGTTAAAAGAAAAACTATGAGGCGTGCCTCGACCGGAACGGAGAAACAAGTGTCTGGTCTGAACTGAGGAGCAGCAAGCAGCGGCCGGATTTCGTGAGTGCTTCGCTGGCCGGTGTGTCCCCGGCGTAATGGGTGTCAGGACCTCTATACCTGATGGAACAACTGAGATCCTGGAGAAAATCAGCAAGAAATCTCCCAGTGATAAACTGCTAAGTACATTACTCAGACAGCAGAAACCTAATGTAGAAACTTGGCAAAAACCATCATGAAAGGGGAAAGCCTTGAACAGGTAGATTGAAGAAGTGGCTGATATACAGCAATCTCATCAGTGGCTAGAAAACCGGAGGCATTTAGCATAGGAGCAAAAGAGCAATAGACTTTTGGTTCTTCCACACTAGACAGGACCCACGATATAGACTCTGCAAAGATGCACCTGGGACAGCCTAGCACATAGTGGGGGATGTAAGATCTAAGCAGGCAAAGTGTGCATGGAATACCATAGCAAAGTGGTTGGGAGAGTCTGCAGGAACATCTGTATAGGGTATGGATCGGAGGTTCCACAGTCGAAGTGGGAGGCTCCTTCATGAATGATGGAGAATGGGTTACATGAGAAGCTTGAGAAAAACAAGGGCTAAAGCTTGGTTTATGCTTGACACATTCACTTTCCGCTTGGTGATGCGGCTCGCGGATGGAACGCGCTTCACAACACGCAGCGTTTATGTTTCATGTGGCTTGTCTCTACGGTGGGCCAATATTCTCCCAAACTGAACGGGGCAGAATGGAGCTCTACAGCATGCATCCAACACTAAACCGTAGTAGAAGTAAAAATTACTGTATTTTACAACATGGCATTCCAGCATTTTTAACAGCGTCCTCATCTTTTCCGACAGTGCGAGCTATTTCTCTCCAAGAATTATTAACAACATGTTGATCACGGTGATCTCTGAGAGCTGAATCATACAAATGTCTGTATTTACGAACTCTGCCACACTAGTTCTTGCCAGTCCGCCATGTTTTTCCGCGTCCGACCATCCGCGTGGTTAGAAAATTTCCTAGGTGCGCGGTGTGGAAATTTTGGGCCGTGTGGAGGCGCGGTGGAGGGGCGTGGTTGTTAAAATGATGCAATTTCGCCGTGCGGACCTCGCAGACGCTTCAAGCATAAACCAACCTTTAAGGAGGAAATAAAGAAAAGTGTGGAAAGTCAAGGCTTTAAGGGTGCCAGGGGTCACTGGAGCACTTAGGGCTGTGATTTCCAAACTAGGAGAGTGGCTTCAACACAAAACGAAAAATCTCTGTCAATAAGTGATAACAGCTAAGAAACTTCATAAAACCCTTCGGCTCCCAACCCTCTGGTAGAGGATATCATCAAAAGGTTCTTAAAATAATATCGGCATGAAAGTATAGATATTTTTAGATGAGAGCTGTTTTAAAACATCAGTTATCCACTTTGATCTTTGCTGATTTAACTTTAATTGTTATAGATGATTTCCACATATTTTCCTTTTGGTCAATATGCTTTTGTTTCCGAGCTACCGTATGCCTTCACTCCAGCAAATCCAGACATACAGTCCCACTTACCATGTTGTTTGTTCTTCTCCAACCAGGTCTACCATGTTTTCAGACTCGGACAAACATAAAGGAGTTACTTGAAACCCTTGGCCAGAATGTTGTTACAAAGAAAAGAAAGAATGTTGAAATACTCTGGACTGCTGGAACCGTGAGTTGTTGTTGTTTTATTACTTCTCCTACAGTATTTCTCTTTGTCTTACTAGATTTTATTTGAAGTTAAAATGTGACTCTGCTCTAAGGGATTATGTTATTGTAAGATAAGAAGGAGAAAAGTGAGAGTAATGGTTCTGTGGGGTAGTTTTTAGCAGTCAGTGTCTTACCTGCAGCTGACAGTAGTCACAGTGATCTCAGATATAAGAATTAAGGGGTCAGACTCAAATCAGTTCTAGGGCAGATTCCTGGCAATAAAAATAATTCAAACCTTAAACAATTAAAAACTCTGAACACTTAATATTTAGCTATGGTTCATAAATACAGCAATTCTCCTGAGTAAAAATCCATAAGTGAAGCTCTGGTCTTTCTGAGAGCAGTGGCGGTTTTACCATTAGGCATAGTTTGGCGGCCGCCTGGGGCCCCCTTGTGTTGGGGGGCCCCCTAGCCCTGACCGCGGGCACCCTTCTGTTAATGCCACAATATTCTTATTACCAACCTGTCGCCGCAGATGGGATTAGACACGCGCACTTCTCATTACCATAATTCCTGAACCGTTCAAGATATCATTAAAATTCCAAAAGTGCTGAAAAGATTAAAAATGGGGCTTTTGGTGCATATACAAAACATTACGGTAGCCACCGGGATTCCTTGTCTTGAGCGCAATGAATCACAACACAGATTCAGAGGCGTGCAGAGTTTGTCATCCAAAATGCTCCGTTTTATAACTTTTGAATGGCTGATCAGATTCAAAAGATTCCAACGGTTCCTAAAAGTACATAAAAGCAGCTTTCCAACGATCTGAGGCATGAAGCAATCAGAGGTATGAAAAAGATTGCAACGAGGGGAAATCCTGCTGTACAGCCTGATTGAAACGGAGCACAGCGGAGCGCAGTGCCACGGTGAAAGCGGATAACGGAACAGGGAAGCTAATTAGCATAAAAAGCCGGCATGAAATTATGGAAATGCCTAAAAGAAAATCAACACGATCTATTAGGTGTCCCAGAAGGCTTATATCTGACGACAGTGACCACGAAGAAGGACAGATCTCCAGTGAACCAGGGGTATGAATGTTTGTTCAGTCTTTATTTTTATTTTTTTATTTGAACAACCCTCAACTATTTGCTAATTGTAAGATTCAGCTTCATTCCAGCATTATTTATCTTTTTACAATAAATAATTATATTTGCTAAAACAAAAGTTTTTGGTATAGCAGTGCACGGTGTGCAAGAGAAGCACCCCATGGCGGTGTGAGGTGTGCAGGACTCTGCCTGCAGCTGGAGAGAAGCTGCTTCAAGGTCTACCACATCAAATAAAAACGTCTGAAAGTTTACAAAAATAAATGGTCTTAAAAACTGCTAAAAATGATACCAAGGTTCACACTTTTTTAAGAATAGATGCATTACAATTCAAAGTTTAAATTGTTCATTCCCAATTGTTTGCCCAAGTCATTTTGAAGTTCCTGTTCAGCAATAAATGTAAAAAAATCTAATCCCTTTTTTGCTTTTTTTCACTTTTAAGCTGATTTTTTTAAAAGCTTTAATAGAAATAAATTCTAAATACAAACCATACACTGAAAGCTGAGGTTGTTCTGAAAAAAGGAGAAGGGTTACACACACTTTGCGCTTTTTATTACAATTTTACAGCCATAAGATTAAAAAATACCAGGTGGCCCTGTTATAATTATGGTCATAAGAGGGTTATTAAGACAGCAATGCACAAACAGGAAGTGATTGGTAGTCATTCCACTCCAATCCAGTTGTTGGCAGTAATGCACCAAATTGTTGTTTGCCAAGTGCCATAAGACCACAAATAATAAGAAGAAGAGAGGCGGGAGCGTTCGTAATGGACTCAAAGCAATAGTCAAAACATTAAGCATGAAATGGAGTTATCCTAGAGGCTCCAATAAAAGAAAGAAGCAGCTCGCTTCTTGAAAGCTTTTATTTTCAGTTCTGAAAGTGACGTCGTTTTTCGATGTAAACATCAAAAGGAAGTAGAAAGGAAAGACAATGGAAAATGTTTAAAGGGAGGAAAACATAGACCAAAATGGAAAATAGAAAAAATAAATAAACAAAGGCAAAAGCACAGGAGCACTGACAGGGGAAAAAAAAGCAGAGCAAATATTCAAAACGCTCAAAGGAAGAGAAATATAGGAAAAAAGAGGAGGACTAATGAAAAGGGAAAATAACTCGTGTCAGAAGAGGGGAGAGTTTCGCAAATCCAGTTAAAGATAAGATTGTCAAAAAATTTGTGTAAGGGGCCCCATGTCTGTGTTCACCTTGGGCCCCCAAATTGCTAAATCCGCCACTGTCTGAGAGCGGGGGATTTTCAAAGAACGTAATACGGGACATTTCTGGGAAAATACTGATATGGGAAGACAAGGAGAAACAGGGGAAAAAAGAGATTTTCCAGGCAAAAATGGGAGGACTTATAAGCTGTGTGTTCTGAGGTGGAAACTTTCATTGCCATAAAGCGTTGCTGCTTACAGCGAGATATAGACTTTGATAAACTTTGCAAATCTCCTGCCCACAAGGAGCAGGGGAGACTAGAGACTATTCTTTCAACCTGTAAAGGGTCATTTTAGTACCTGCTGGCTGAAGAAATGTATTTAAAAATATAACTTACATGGTGTATCTTTAATGATGGATGTGATTTTTTCCCCACTTTTCTAGATTTGCAGAAGGTTAAATGGTATCAGGTTTACCAGCTGTAAAAGTGCCAAAGACCGAACATCCATGTCTGTTACGTTAGAGCAGTGTGCCCTCCTGAGGGATGAACACCAGCTCAGCAAGGACTCCTTTGTACAAGCTCTGGACTGTATGCGGAGGTGAGATGGAAATTAAACACTTTTTTTATCTCAATGGGTGCAAGGTATTACTGCGACCAGTTTCAAAACTATACATTTTTGTTTCTGAGAATGGAAAACAGTCATTTCTGACAGTCTATGGCCTACTTTCAGAACAAACTTTTTCTATTTTAGCAATAAAGTACAGGATCTGGGGGTCATAATGAGAAGGCTGTAAAACTATCAGCTCACACATACATGGATTCAAGTATTTGTTTCCATTAAAGAAAGACAAAACACACGATGGTCACTGAAATTGCGTAATACATTTTTAATTTAGCCAATGAAAATCTGACACTTTGAGCTAAGGTGTGTCCTGCAATTTGCATCACAGGGGTTTTTGTTCTTGTAATCAGTCAGTCTGCATGGTTTGAAGTGAGAAAAGTAGCCGGAGAGCTGTTTGGTTTCAGGGTGAGTACCACACTGAACAATAACCACAGAAAGTTAAGGAATACATTGTCTCAAGATTTGAATGATAATTGTTGACCAGCATGTTAAAGATTGAGGCCACAAGACCATCTCCAAGCAGCTTGGTGTTTCCATGACAACAGTCGGTCATATTATTTGGATGTTTAAAATCTCCTGGCTTGTAGCCAACCTATGTCGGCACTGGGAGTAACACTGAGGAGATGGGAAACATGAATAGTAACCAAAACACTCAGAGCAACTTCCAAACAGATAAAAGGCAAATTACAAGGTTCATTAGTGTAAGGTTGCACTGTCCATTCCCGGGTTATTGAGCTAAAGTGGGCCAAGCAATGAAGGACAAGACTCTAAAAACACGGAATTTGTCTAACGCATGTTGTCAAACCTTTTTGGCAAATCCCATCAGCTTGATGGTCACACAGACACAAAAAAATGAAACGCACAAAGAAAAGAAAGTCTGTAGTGAAACATGGAGAAGCATCAGTTCTCTTCATCACATCTGCCACAGATCGGTACAGGGTCCAACTAAATCTCAAGACAGGCAAGGCATTATGGGGCAAAATGGACCGCCCATTGTTAGAAAGCTTGGTCTCAGTTGCATGTAGCTGGTTTAACAGGTCAGTGACCTGAAACACACAGCCAGAACCACCCAGGAGCAGACCACAAGACCCTTCTGAAGTGGCTAACATAACAGCAAGAACACCTTGCTCATGAATGGACCCAAAGTATCAACGGACAGGTGCAAAAGTCTCATTTAGATTTCTGATTTTAAGTAGAAATTATTTGATCCTTTCTCTGGTTGGTCTCAAGCTCTGTTTACAGTGACTGTTGCAGTGTTTTACTTTCTTTAAGGGGATTGGCAATGAAACCCACTGTTTTATCCATATTTGCCCAATCCTCCGAATATAAAATGTGTGGAGCTGTGGTGGCATGGCAATGTCTGACTACACCAGCTCAGTGACTTAGTGGTATGAAGGCCTGCTCTGGGACTGGGAGATTGTTGGTTCATAGCCACAATCGAGTCATACCAAAGACTTTAAAAATGGGACCCAACTCCTCTCACTGACATTTACAGTCAGCAGTAAGGGGTTCAATTGGGGGGTTAAACCACAAAATAGTTCCAGAGCACGGCTTTTCTGCAGCTCACAGCTCCCCCAGGGGATGGGTCAAATGCAGAGAACAATTTCAGCAAATTTTACAGCTAATGGAGCTTTAACTTTGATATAAAGTTATACCTGCACCCAAACCATCCATCTGCGATGTGTCGTCCTCATCTTCTCCTGCAAGCATATCTGTTCCCTCCATCAACACCATCCTTCACTCAGTCAAAGGCGACCATTGCTGTTCCTGTAGGTTTCCTGTAGCGACACTGCTGCTTTTTAATGCCTGTGTATGCCAGCAGGGTAAACATCCACATCTGCCTTAATCTGATAAAGCTGAACTATCAACCTTTACTAAGGAACGTCATAAAGTGCACCCTGCAACATGCTTGTGGCATTAACTTGTACAAGCCTGCGGATGGCAGTGGGATCAGGTTAGGGAGAGGACATGCCATTTCAAAACCCAAAACAACTACTCTCTCAGGTAACATATTCAAAAAAGCTTGTTTTTATGGCAGCACCAATTATATCCCATCAAATCACATTAGAGTCACAACATGATTATTGTAGTCCAATAAAAACTGCCATGTTGGTGCTTAATCTTTAGATATCCTAAATATAAACTTGTCTGGCAGGATCTCATTTTAAATGCATGTGGTGAAACGTTAAATGCGTCCCCAGTAAATTAATAATTTATTACCAGCAGCATAAATGGTAAATCATTATAGTTTGAATGGGGCCACTCCATTGTATCAAGGATTTTGTGTAACTTGAATGTGCCCATGTCTATTTTTATGTCTTTCTCGTGTTTCAAATAACTGGACTCTTTCATTTGAAGGAGCGGTGAAGCACCAGTAAAGGCTTAGTTCATTCAAGTGTTGTGTTCAAACATTAAAGACCAAGTTCACTTATTTTTTTCTAAACATTAGCAGTGGTCTCTTGTGTAAATGGATGACTTGTGAGTCAGTCTCTGTGGGAACAAAGTTCTGGTGCTTCTGTTTTGGGAACTAGAAGTGAGCGAGAGCCAAGTTGAGCTTTAGAAGCAAAATATGGAGTCTTATTTTCTGATATTCAGAGATCTCTTCTCTGATTGGTTAACAGTAATGCAACTATTACCCCTACTTCACACCAGGGCCGCCTCCAGAAAATTTTGATAGGGTTAGGGTTAGCAGTTTTCTAGGGGTGGCCATGGCCACCCCTTGGGGGCGCCCTTACTTCACACTCGAAGCATCAGCGGCGCGGATAGGCAACAAAACTTCACTGCTTCAAATAGAATCCATTATAATTTATGGGGTGATTCAAACCAGCTGCGACGCGGAACATTTTCAGGCGGCTCGCTGTGTCACCACGCTCAAGATAGAATCAGGTTTTTTTTTTCCACGAGCCACTTCTGGGACATGTGAATGTCCGCAGTTAACAGACGGTTAGACAGTAAATTTTCAGTGTATAACCTCTGGTAATCTTCAAAATTAAAAATTATTGCAGCGATGCAGTTTCATATTTATTTCGATTAGCTCAGAACATGTGACCTAACTGCTTATAAACCCTCAGCATCGTTTGAGAAGTGCAGCGATGTGGTTTTATGGCTTTACACCTGGCAGTGGAGAGGAACAACATCATGACATCCAACAGCAATATCAAATGTGATGTTCTTGTTTTTGATTTAATGGCGGAAGGCATAAACGAACCAAGACCTTTGAAGTCTCGAGGGATTTTGTGATCTAGCGAGTCCAGCGACGAGCACAGCAGAGAAGCCGCTCTGTGGTGTGTGCTGGCTTGCACGAAAGTCGTGAATAAACCGTTCCGCTGCTGTACCGCACCGCTGATGTCTCCAGTGTGAAGTAGGGGTTACTCTGTCTCCATTTGCTTTTCTACTTTGATGTTTTACGTCGACAAATAACTCAAACCTGAAGGATTTCTACCATGTTGTGGAGTTGCTAATGCTAACGGTTAGCTTCTACTAGCTGAGACATGCTCTGCTCTCTCATGGAGGTTAAACCAACTACAGCCTTCCCTGTCACGAGCCAAGATTGGCGAGTCCATGAATGCTAATTTGACATCATGACGTGCTAATGTTTTTTCTAATCTTCCATGCCCCTCTTTTATTTTCTATCAGCAGCTAATACAGGAAATAGGGGTAGAAGATTATTGTGCAATCATATTTCAAAAATAACAAGTAAAATTGGATTCTCAGTGAATTTGGTCTTTAAGAGGAAACCTTTCCTCTTGGATTATAGAGTTAGTCTAAATTTTTAAATAGGTATTTCAGACATGTTATGTTCAATTTGTAGTAATAATAATAATAATAATAATACATTTTATTTCAAAGCGCCTTTCAGGACACCCAAGGTCACTTTACACAAAACACGTAATAAAATACAATAAAACAATAATAAAACCCAAAGAAGAAAAAACAGAGAGAAACATTTCAATAAAATCAGAGGTTGTAGGCAGATTTAAACATGTGTGTTTTGAGTTTTGTTTTGAAAAGGGTAAAACTGTCGACGTTCCTGATGTCTGGGGGAAGTGAGTTCCAGAGTCGAGGAGCAGAGCGGCTGAAAGCTCTGCTCCCCATGGTAGCGAGACGGGCAGAAGGAACCGCAAGATGGATGGAAGAAGAAGATCTGAGTGAACGGGATGGGGTGTGAATACTTATAAGGTCTGAGATATATGGAGGAGAGAGGTTGTGGATTGCTTTGAAGGTATGGAGGAGAATTTTGAAGATGGACCTGAATTTAACTGGGAGCCAGTGAAGCTGCTGGAGAACCGGCGTGATGTGGTGAAAGGAAGGGGTTCTGGTGCTAATACGGGCTGCTGAATTCTGGACCAGTTGCAGTTTATGAAGGAGTTTGTTGGGAAGACCATAGAGAAGTGAATTGCAATAGTCGATACGGGAGGTGACGAGGCTGTGGACGAGAATGGCGGCAGTGTGAGGGGTCAGTGAGGGACGGAGACGGTTTATGGAACGTAGATGGAAGTATGCTGACCGAATTAAGTTATTAATGTGAGCCTGAAAAGAAAGTGAGCTGTCGAGAATGACACCCAGACTCTTGACATGAGGTGAGGGGGAGACTGTGGCGCTGTCAATAGTTAAAGAAAAGCTGTCAGATGTTGAGAGGGTGGAGTTAGTGCCAACAAGAAGAAGTTCAGTTTTATTGCAGTTGAGTTTGAGGAAATTAGAGGTGAACCATGATTTGATTTCAGAGAGGCAGAGTGTAAGGGAGGATGGTGGGAGAGTTGAGTTGGGCTTACTGGAAATGTAGAGCTGGGTGTCATCTGCAAAGCAGTGAAACTGGATATTGAATTTGCGGAAGATTTTGCCGATAGGGAGGAGATTTACTATGAAGAGGAGGGGCCCCAGGACAGAGCCCTGGGGCACACCTGACTTGACTGGGGAGGGTTCTGAGGTAAAGGATTTTAACTGGATGAACTGAGTGCGGCCAGTAAGGTAAGACT